TGATCTGATTCGAAGAACTGCACTTAGGCCCCCCTCTCATGAAACGGCTCTGCTGCAGTGGATGGCAGTTTGGCGTCGAGTTTTATTCTTTGTTGTTATATATGTACTTCAAAATTGTTACTAATAGGGTCTAGTTGATTTAATGCCCTTGGCCTTGTCAAGTTCATGGGCTCTGATTATTTCCTTATTTTTCTACAATATTTTGTTGTCTTGCAATATTTTGCTCCAAGATAAAAACACATGCACCAAATATCTACTAGAAACAATAATTAAGAGGTGTGACTTTGCATACCAGCTTTGCACGCTTTAAATCGTTTACTCGTGAACTTCTATTATGTTTTCATTTGTATACGTGCACCTGACTTGAAAGACAATGGTCAAAGCATATGTGCCCATGACTTTCTTAAGACAACATACCATAGATGCAAGTACTCAAGTACACGCATGTACAGTCAGCATCTATCTTATGAACACCCACGCACACAGCCAAATGAGAACATTCAAGAGGTCACGCTGGCACATCTTGATATTGATGATGTAATGTGGTATTGTCTACGTATTAATCAAGCATGTGGATGTAGTTATGATTCGATATTTTTCAATTGATTATGTAGAGAGAGAAAAAAAATAAGGAGTAGACTCAGATAAATCTCAATCAATGTATTGATTATTTCTGGGAAGTTGCACACGCCGACACAAGAACATTGTTATCAAGTACAACTCATTTGTATTCTAGAAGATGGCACCTCCAACGATGGGTTGCTGCCACGACAAGGCAGGGTTCCTCAAAGACATCAGGTCGAATGGCTGCAATTGCTGCTGCTGCTGCTGCAGGAAAGCGGCAGCCAATGGGTTAGCCAGTGCCGATGGGTGAACTGGTAGCAGCTGCTGTTGCTGATGGTAGGCAGCAGCGGTTGCAACAGCCGACTGGGTAAACGGAAGCGGCTGCTGCTGTTGCAGGTATGCAGCGGCGTTCGCCCCAGCCAGTTGGTTGAATGGAAGTAGCTGTTGCTGTTGCAAGTAGACGGCAGGGTTTGCCACAGATAGTTGACTGAGCGCTGGCAGGAACTGTTGCTGTCGCAGTTGCGCTACGATGGTCTGAACTAGTAGGTGAGCCGAGGATTGCTGTTGCAATTGGGCAATTGGTTGTTCTAAGATGCTCGCCGCGAGCACCTGTTGTAACCTATAGGCCCGCACAATTGGGTGCTCATACCCCACAGCAGTAACCGGTGAGCACTGCGGAATGATGAACGCAGTTGCAGCGCTCACCGAAAGAGCAAGGAGTGCAAGGAGGGCAAATATCTTGGCGGCCATTGTTGCTAAGATGTTGCTAGTGCGTTTCACTTGGCAAGTTTTTTATTGCTCTCAATGATACGGGTGGTGGATTAGCTATTGATTTGGGGCCTATTTATACAAGTGAGAGCTCATGTATATCTGTTCAGATCTCGGATTTTGCCAAAAGATGGATGAGCTAGAGATGACATGGCACCTAGTCAACTTCGACGTTTAGTTATCAGTTTCATTGGATTATATGGTATGTGTTGGCAAGATAGTGTCCACTACGTGCTATAAAAAGTGCCCTTTCCTATAGGAGTTCTCTAGATACATGAGGAATGACATGCGTGATAACTTCACCTTTACACATGACAAAGCCTTAGCCACATCATATTTGTTCCACTTTATAGACATGATGAGTATGTGAAGTTATGACTTGCTCATGTGAATCAACGCCTTTATCAACGAAATTTATTGTAGCATCGTACTCATGGTTGAAGTATACATGTAGTTATGTGAGAAGTTATGAAGCGGCGAGTGAACAAATGCTGCAAGACCGTGGCTAATTGAAGTCCCCGTATGTCTAAAATGCATGCACACGCATCTCTACACCTAAAAATACCTAGGGGTATCGTCGGCGCAAATACTCGCCCCGCTTCGACTCTTCTCTCCGTTCCTACATGACTTCGTTTCTACGCACGTCTGTTACCTACTTACCCACGTGACTCGACCTAGATCGAACAAGGGAGTCTAATATACAAATTGGTTACCTACGTACGTCCTTTCGTGAGGTATGTCCGTTCATTGTCGCCAGGGCATCGATCTCTCAAGCCGTGGTGGTCCCGCTTATGGTGTTGGAGTCGCCTATGTTGATGTACAACATCGGCCAAGGGAGTTTTGTTGCGCCTAGCCAGGCTCACGGGTGCCAGCGCGCACCAAGCGCCGACAGGCCACATGCACCAAGCGAACGCCCGGTCGAGCCGGGCCGTCCTTTTTGCGCCGCCGTGCGGGTGCCATGCCGCTGGCAGCTCCGGTGACGCCCCGTAGGGTGCCATTCATTGGCAGCTCCTGCGACCAAGACGTCGAGAGTCCGCCAGGCGCATTGCGCGATTCCTTACACCACTTTCGCGCACGCGTGCGCTCAGCGGTGAACACCGGCCCAGCGGTGCCCGTGCTCTGCTCTGCTCTTTCATTTCCAAAAGTTGATTTTACATCAACGTAATACATGAAGATGAATATGTCAGCGAAACAAGCACGCTGGGTGTCCCAGAGAATAATAATTAGAGAAGAATTTTTGCGTGCACTATGATTTTGAAGTGTGTCCTTATGCTACGACCATCACTTGCTCCGCTTCTGGCGATGCCGGTGTCTTACGTCTTATAGAGGATTCATGTGTTGGGGTTAAGGGTTAATTAGAGAAGTAAAAAAGGCCTCGGGTTTAGAAATAATTTAGGGTTTCCAATAAAAAATATTTAATAGCCGTGTGGGAAAAAATTCACGGCCCCCATGCAATGCACGGGCATATATCTAGTAGAATATAAAAAATTGGCATGCTTATTACTATCTTGGCCACTGCCACACACTCCCTTTGTTCTGGATTACAATTCACTTTATTTTTGTGTAAAAGCAAGCTTGTCAAACTTTGAAAAAGTTTTAAATAAATTTCGACAACAAAAATGCACTATCAAGACATATGCACTGAAGAATTCAATGAAACAAACTTCATGTTCAAGATTTTTAGTAATTTTTCTAGGAAATATATCAAAGTTAGGTAAGATTACCTTAGGGAAGAGCTAGAGCAAGTAATAAACTGGAGCGGAGGGCGTATATGTTGAACTCTACCTCTTGATTCAAATAGATGTACATCTAATTTTCACTAAACTCATACTTAAATTATTTCCATATAGTTAGGAGAATGATAAGTTTCCTGCCACTTTTGTTCCTTCCACCATCTACGATATGAATCTTCCCTTCAATATACAGATGAAGAGGATCAAGGCCAACCTCCTAGCTGTTCGAAAGAAAGTCGTTTGGGCTCAAAGGCATAGATCCATTCAAGAAAAAACAACAACATGATCATTAACATAAACCTTGCTCAGCTATGCTGCAAAAACTCAAGATAAAGGAGACTAAGATGGGGTTGCATTGATTTTAGGCGAAAAAGACTCGAAGTTCCATGACAACACACTCCTTCATATTCGTTTTAACTAGAACAGTGAGCACATAGGTACACATATTTAATTCCGTGGATTCGACACAAAAGATATTTCGGATTTCCCTACACACGACCTGAATCTCGTCCAAAAGAATCTCAGGAACATTGGGATAATAACCTTAATCTCTAGGACTGGGCATTAATTTTAGGCTAAGGAAATTCAATATGGCTAAAAAGATTTAAAAATAATAACTTCTGAGCGAGACCAACAAAATCTTCATAGCTTCATTTACTATGCCTTGTTCATTTACAAAGGAATGTATTTCATGATTCTATAATAATTTGCTTTATGGGTGCTCAAGTAGAAATGATAAGATATCTGTTCTACTTTTATATAACATGTGAGTTAGGGTTACAATGATTCTAGTGTTATGAGCTACCCCTAGTAAACCGTCATGTCAGTAGTAAACTAATGGATTTGTTTAGTTTTAAGATTTTATAACATGAACTTTTTCGTATTCTACACATAGATGAAAACTGCAATCCATTGGACTAGGCTTGGTGTCAGAATGGCACTCCAAATGGGTTCTCTCTCTACAGAGAACAGTACGGCGGTGGACGGTTAGTACTTTAATCTCGGGACGTTACTTTTGGGTTTTGATAGCCCCACTCTAAATCATATTTTAGTCGGTGCGGTGCCCATCAGCAAAGATCCCATCTTTGGTAATGCTACCAAGCAGAAAAGTGAGCTACCGTGTTTAGTTGCCAATTTGACGCAAGTTTGGTGTCCCTCTGTAAAAATTTGCTCTAACATATTCGTGGGATATTAAACTTCACGTTGATCTGATTCGAAGAACTGCACTTAGGCCCCCCTCTCATGAAACGGCTCTGCTGCAGTGGATGGCAGTTTGGCGTCGAGTTTTATTCTTTGTTGTTATATATGTACTTCAAAATTGTTACTAATAGGGTCTAGTTGATTTAATGCCCTTGGCCTTGTCAAGTTCATGGGCTCTGATTATTTCCTTATTTTTCTACAATATTTTGTTGTCTTGCACAATTTTGCTCCAAGATAAAAACACATGCACCAAATATTTACTAGAAACAATAATTAAGAGGTGTGACTTTGCATACCAGCTTTTGCACGCATTAAACATCGTTTACTCGTGAACTTCTATTATGTTTTCATTTGTATACGTGCACCTGACTTGAAAGACAATGGTCAAAGCATATGTGCCCATGACTTTCTTAAGACAACATACCATAGATGCAAGTACTCAAGTACACGCATGTACAGTCAGCATCTATCTTATGAACACCCACGCACACAGCCAAATGAGAACATTCAAGAGGTCACGCTGGCACATCTTGATATTGATGATGTAATGTGGTATTGTCTACGTATTAATCAAGCATGTGGATGTAGTTATGATTCGATATTTTCAATTGATTATGTAGAGAGAGAAAAAATAAGGAGTAGACTCAGATAAATCTCAATCAATGTATCGATTATTTCTGGGAAGTTGCTGCGCCGACACAAGAACATTGTTATCAAGTACAACTCATTTGTATTCTAGAAGATGGCACCTCCAACGATGGGTTGCTGCCACGACAAGGCAGGGTTCCTCAAAGACATCAGGTCGAATGGCTGCAATTGCTGCTGCTGCTGCTGCAGGAAAGCGGCAGCCAATGGGTTAGCCAGTGCCGATGGGTGAACTGGTAGCAGCTGCTGTTGCTGATGGTAGGCAGCAGCGGTTGCAACAAGCCGACTGGGTAAACGCAGGCGCTGCTGCTGCTGTTGCAGGTATGCAGCGGCGTTCGCCCCAGCCAGTTGGTTGAATGGAAGTAGCTGTTGCTGTTGCAAGTAGGCGGCAGGGTTCGCCACGGCTAGTTGACTGAGCGCTGGCAGGAACTGTTGCTGTCGCAGTTGCGCTACGATGGTCTGAACTAGTAGGTGAGCCGAGGATTGCTGTTGCAATTGGGCAATTGGTTGTTCTAAGATGCTCGCCGCGAGCACCTGTTGTAACCTATAGGCCCGCACAATTGGGTGCTCATACCCCACAGCAGTAACCGGTGAGCACTGCGGAATGATGAACGCAGTTGCAGCGCTCACCGAAAGAGCAAGGAGTGCAAGGAGGGCAAATATCTTGGCGGCCATTGTTGCTAAGATGTTGCTAGTGCGTTTCACTTGGCAAGTTTTTTATTGCTCTCAATGATACGGGTGGTGGATTAGCTATTGATTTGGGGCCAATTTATACAAGTGAGAGCTCATGTATATCTGTTCAGATCTCGGATTTTGCCAAAAGATGGATGAGCTAGAGATGACATGGCACCTAGTCAACTTCGACGTTTAGTTATCAGTTTCATTGGATTATATGGTATGTGTTGGCAAGATAGTGTCCACTACGTGCTATAAAAAAGTGCCCTTTCCTATAGGAGTTCTCTAGATACATGAGGAATGACATGCGTGATAACTTCACCTTTACACATGACAAAGCCTTAGCCACATCATATTTGTTCCACTTTATAGACATGATGAGTATGTGAAGTTATGACTTGCTCATGTGAATCAACGCCTTTATCAACGAAATTTATTGTAGCATCGTACTCATGGTTGAAGTATACACAGTAGTTATGTGAGAAGTTATGAAGCAGCGAGTGAACAAATGCTGCAAGACCGTGGCTAATTGAAGTCCCCGTATGTCTAAAATGCATGCACACGCATCTCTACACCTAAAAAATACCTAGGGGTATCGTCAGCGCAAATACTCGCCCCGCTCGACTCTTCTCTCCGTTCCTACATGACTTCGTTTCCTACGTACGTCTGTTACCTACTTACCTACGTGACTCGACCTAGATCGAACAAGGGAGTCTAATATACAAATTGGTTACCTACGTACGTCCTTTCGTAGGTATGTCCGTTCATTGTCGCCAGGGGCATCGATCTCCAAGCCGTGGTGGTCCCGCTTATGGTGCTGGAGTCGCCTATGTTGATGTACAACATCGGCCAAGGGAGTTTTGTTGCGCCTAGCCAGGCTCACGGGTGCCGCGCGCACCAGCGCCGCACAGGGCCACATGCACCAAGCAGAACGCCGGTCGAGCCGGGCCGTCCTTTGCGCCGCCGCCGGGTGCCATGCCGCTGGCAGCTCCGGTGACGTCCCGTAGGGTGCCATTCCGCTGGCAGCTCCTGCGACCAAGACGTCGAGAGTCCGGCCAGGCGCATTGCGCAGTTCCTTACACCACTTTCGCGCACGCGTGCGCTCAGCGGTGAACACCGGCCCAGCGGTGCCCGTGCTCTGCTCTGCTCTTTCATTTCCAAAAGTTGATTTTACATCAACGTAATACATGAAGATGAATATGTCAGCGAAACAAGCACGCTGGGTGTCCCAGAGAATAATAATTAGAGAAGAATTTTTGCGTGCACTATGATTTTGAAGTGTGTCCTTATGCTACGACCACTGCTCTGCCTGGCGATGCCGGTGTCTTACGTCTTATAGAGGATTCATGTGTTGGGGTTAAGGGTTAATTAGAGAAGTAAAAAAGGCCTCGGGTTTAGAAATAATTTAGGGTTTCCAATAAAAAATATTTAATAGCCGTGTGTGGGAAAAAATTCACGGCCCCCATGCAATGCACGGGCATATATCTAGTAGAATATAAAAAATTGGCATGCTTATTACTATCTTGGCCACTGCCACACACTCCCTTTGTTCTGGATTACAATTCACTTTATTTTTGTGTAAAAGCAAGCTTGTCAAACTTTGAAAAAGTTTTAAATAAATTTCGACAACAAAAATGCACTATCAAGACATATGCACTGAAGAATTCAATGAAACAAACTTCATGTTCAAGATTTTTAGTAATTTTTCTAGGAAATATATCAAAGTTAGGTAAGATTACCTTAGGGAAGAGCTAGAGCAAGTAATAAACTGGAGCGGAGGGCGTATATGTTGAACTCTACCTCTTGATTCAAATAGATGTACATCTAATTTTCACTAAACTCATACTTAAATTATTTCCATATAGTTAGGAGAATGATAAGTTTCCTGCCACTTTTGTTCCTTCCACCATCTACGATATGAATCTTCCCTTCAATATACAGATGAAGAGGATCAAGGCCAACCTCCTAGCTGTTCGAAAGAAAGTCGTTTGGGCTCAAAGGCATAGATCCATTCAAGAAAAAAAACAACATGATCATTAACATAAACCTTGCTCAGCTATGCTGCAAAAACTCAAGATAAAGGAGACTAAGATGGGGGTTGCATTGATTTTAGGCGAAAAAGACTCGAAGTTCCATGACAACACACTCCTTCATATTCGTTTTAACTAGAACAGTGAGCACATAGGTACACATATTTAATTCCGTGGATTCGACACAAAAGATATTTCGGATTTCCCTACACACGACCTGAATCTCGTCCAAAAGAATCTCAGGAACATTGGGATAATAACCTTAATCTCTAGGACTGGGCATTAATTTTAGGCTAAGGAAATTCAATATGGCTAAAAAGATTTAAAAATAATAACTTCTGAGCGAGACCAACAAAATCTTCATAGCTTCATTTACTATGCCTTGTTCATTTACAAAGGAATGTATTTCATGATTCTATAATAATTTGCTTTATGGGTGCTCAAGTAGAAATGATAAGATATCTGTTCTACTTTTATATAACATGTGAGTTAGGGTTACAATGATTCTAGTGTTATGAGCTACCCCTAGTAAACCGTCATGTCAGTAGTAAACTAATGGATTTGTTTAGTTTTAAGATTTTATAACATGAACTTTTTCGTATTCTACACATAGATGAAAACTGCAATCCATTGGACTAGGCTTGGTGTCAGAATGGCACTCCAAATGGGTTCTCTCTCTACAGAGAACAGTACGGTGGTGGGCGGTTAGTACTTTAATCTCGGGGACGTTACTTTTGGGTTTTGATAGCCCCACTCTAAATCATATTTTAGTCGGGTGCGGTGCCCATCAGCAAAGATCCCATCTTTGGTAATGCTACCAAGCAGAAAAGTGAGCTACCGTGTTTAGTTGCCAATTTGACGCAAGTTTGGTGTCCCTCTGTAAAAATTTGCTCTAACATATTCGTGGGATATTAAACTTCACGTTGATCTGATTGAAGAAGAACTGCACTTAGGCCCCCTCTCATGAAACGGCTCTGCTGCAGTGGATGGCAGTTTGGCGTCGAGTTTTATTCTTTGTTGTTATATATGTACTTCAAAATTGTTACTAATAGGGTCTAGTTGATTTAATGCCCTTGGCCTTGTCAAGTTCATGGGCTCTGATTATTTCCTTATTTTTCTACAATATTTTGTTGTCTTGCACAATTTTGCTCCAAGATAAAAACACATGCACCAAATATTTACTAGAAACAATAATTAAGAGGTGTGACTTTGCATACCAGCTTTGCACGCACAAATACGTTTACTCGTGAACTTCTATTATGTTTTCATTTGTATACGTGCACCTGACTTGAAAGACAATGGTCAAAGCATATGTGCCCATGACTTTCTTAAGACAACATACCATAGATGCAAGTACTCAAGTACACGCATGTACAGTCAGCATCTATCTTATGAACACCCACGCACACAGCCAAATGAGAACATTCAAGAGGTCACGCTGGCACATCTTGATATTGATGATGTAATGTGGTATTGTCTACGTATTAATCAAGCATGTGGATGTAGTTATGATTCGATATTTTTCAATTGATTATGTAGAGAGAGAAAAAAATAGGAGTAGACTCAGATAAATCTCAATCAATGTATCGATTATTTCTGGGAAGTTACACCGACACAAGAACATTGTTATCAAGTACAACTCATTTGTATTCTAGAAGATGGCACCTCCAACGATGGGTTGCTGCCACGACAAGGCAGGGTTCCTCAAAGACATCAGGTCGAATGGCTGCAATTGCTGCTGCTGCTGCTGCAGGAAAGCGGCAGCCAATGGGTTAGCCAGTGCCGATGGGTGAACTGGTAGCAGCTGCTGTTGCTGATGGTAGGCAGCAGCGGTTGCAACAGCCGACTGGGTAAACGGAAGCGGCTGCTGCTGTTGCAGGTATGCAGCGCGTTCGCCCCAGCCAGTTGGTTGAATGGAAGTAGCTGTTGCTGTTGGCGGCAGTAGGCGGCAGGGTTTCGCCACAGATAGTTGACTGGCGCTGGCAGGAACTGTTGCTGTCGCAGTTGCAAGGCGCTACGATGGTCTGAACTGTTGCTGTCGTAGTAGGTGAGCCGAGGATTGCTGTTGCAATTGGGCAATTGGTTGTTCTAAGATGCTCGCCGCGAGCACCTGTTGTAACCTATAGGCCCGCACAATTGGGTGCTCATACCCCACAGCAGTAACCGGTGAGCACTGCGGAATGATGAACGCAGTTGCAGCGCTCACCGAAAGAGCAAGGAGTGCAAGGAGGGCAAATATCTTGGCGGCCATTGTTGCTAAGATGTTGCTAGTGCGTTTCACTTGGCAAGTTTTTTATTGCTCTCAATGATACGGGTGGTGGATTAGCTATTGATTTGGGGCCTATTTATACAAGTGAGAGCTCATGTATATCTGTTCAGATCTCGGATTTTGCCAAAAGATGGATGAGCTAGAGATGACATGGCACCTAGTCAACTTCGACGTTTAGTTATCAGTTTCATTGGATTATATGGTATGTGTTGGCAAGATAGTGTCCACTACGTGCTATAAAAAGTGCCCTTTCCTATAGGAGTTCTCTAGATACATGAGGAATGACATGCGTGATAACTTCACCTTTACACATGACAAAGCCTTAGCCACATCATATTTGTTCCACTTTATAGACATGATGAGTATGTGAAGTTATGACTTGCTCATGTGAATCAACGCCTTTATCAACGAAATTTATTGTAGCATCGTACTCATGGTTGAAGTATACACAGTAGTTATGTGAGAAGTTATGAAGCAGCGAGTGAACAAATGCTGCAAGACCGTGGCTAATTGAAGTCCCCGTATGTCTAAAATGCATGCACACGCATCTCTACACCTAAAAAATACCTAGGGGTATCGTCAGCGCAAATACTGCGCCCGCTCGACTCTTCTCTCCGTTCCTACATGACTTCGCTTCCCTACGTACGTCTGTTACCTACTTACCTACGTGACTCGACCTAGATCGAACAAGGGAGTCTAATATACAAATTGGTTACCTACGTACGTCCTTTCGTAGGTATGTCCGTTCATTGTCTCCTAGGGCATCGATCTCCAAGCCGTGGTGGTCCCGCTTATGGTGCTTTGGAGTCGCCTATGTTGATGTACAACATCGGCCAAGGGAGTTTTGTTGCGCCTAGCCAGGCTCACGGGTGCCGCGCGCAGCGCCGCCGACAGGCCACATGCACCAAGCGAACGCCGGTCGAGCCGGGCCGTCCTTTGCGCCGCCGCTGGGTGCCATGCCGCTGGCAGCTCCGGTGACGTCCCGTAGGGTGCCATTCATTGGCAGCTCCTGCGACCAAGACGCCGAGAGTCCGCCAGGCGATTGCGCGATTCCTTCACACCACTTTCGCGACGCGCGAAGCGCTCAGTGGTGAACACCGGCCCAGCCCGGTGCCCGTGCTCTGCGCTCGCTCTTTCATTTCCAAAAGTTGATTTTACATCAACGTAATACATGAAGATGAATATGTCAGTGAAACAAGCACGCTGGGTGTCCCAGAGAATAATAATTAGAGAAGAATTTTTGCGTGCACTATGATTTTGAAGTGTGTCCTTATACTACGACCCTTTGCTCCGCTGGCGATGCGGTGTCTTACGTCTTATAGAGGATTCATGTGTTGGGGTTAAGGGTTAATTAGAGAAGTAAAAAAAGGCCTCGGGTTTAGAAATAATTTAGGGTTTCCAATAAAAAATATTTAATAGCCGTGTGGGAAAAAATTCATGGCCTCCATGCAATGCACGGGCATATATCTAGTAGAATATAAAAAATTGGCATGCTTATTACTATCTTGGCCTTTGCCACACACCCCTTGTTTCGGATTACAATTCACTTTATTTTTGTGTAAAAGCAAGCTTGTCAAACTTTGAAAAAGTTTTAAATAAATTTCGACAACAAAAATGCACTATCAAGACATATGCACTGAAGAATTCAATGAAACAAACTTCATGTTCAAGATTTTTAGTAATTTTCCTAGGAAATATATCAAAGTTAGGTAAGATTACCTTAGGGAAGAGCTAGAGCAAGTAATAAACTGGAGCGGAGGGCGTATATGTTGAACTCTACCTCTTGATTCAAATAGATGTACATCTAATTTTCACTAAACTCATACTTAAATTATTTCCATATAGTTAGGAGAATGATAAGTTTCCTGCCACTTTTGTTCCTTCCACCATCTACGATATGAATCTTCCCTTCAATATACAGATGAAGAGGATCAAGGCCAACCTCCTAGCTGTTCGAAAGAAAGTCGTTTGGGCTCAAAGGCATAGATCCATTCAAGAAAAAAAAACAACATGATCATTAACATAAACCTTGCTCAGCTATGCTGCTAAAACTCAAGATGAAGGAGATTAAGATGGGGGTTGCATTGATTTTAGGCGAAAAAGACTCGAAGTTCCATGACAACACACTCCTTCATATTCGTTTTAACTAGAACAGTGAGCACATAGGTACACATAATTAATTCCGTGGATTCGACACAAAAGATATTTCGGATTTCCCTACACACGACCTGAATCTCGTCCAAAAGAATCTCAGGAACATTGGGATAATAACCTTAATCTCTAGGACTGGGTATTAATTTTAGGCTAAGGAAATTCAATATGGCTAAAAACATTTAAAAATAATAACTTCTGAGCGAGACCAACAAAATCTTCATAGCTTCATTTACTATGCCTTGTTCATTTACAAAGGAATGTATTTCATGATTCTATAATAATTTGCTTTATGGGTGCTCAAGTAGAAATGATAAGATATCTGTTCTACTTTTATATAACATGTGAGTTAGGGTTACAATGATTCTAGTGTTATGAGCTACCCCTAGTAAACCGTCATGTCAGTAGTAAACTAATGGATTTGTTTAGTTTTAAGATTTTATAACATGAACTTTTTCGTATTCTACACATAGATGAAAACTGCAATCCATTGGACTAGGCTTGGTGTCAGAATGGCACTCAAATGGGTTCTCTCTCTACAGAGAACAGTGTGGCGGTGGACGGTTAGTACTTTAATCTCGGGACGTTACTTTTGGGTTTTGATAGCCCCACTCTAAATCATATTTTAGTCGGTGCGGTGCCCATCAGCAAAGATCCCATCTTTGGTAATGCTACCAAGCAGAGAAAAGTGAGCTACCGTGTTTAGTTGCCAATTTGACTTAAGTTTGGTGTCCCTCTGTAAAAATTTGCTCTAACATATTCGTGGGATATTAAACTTCACGTTGATCTGATTCGAAGAACTGCACTTAGGCCCCCCTCTCATGAAACGGCTCTGCTGCAGTGGATGGCAGTTTGGCGTCGAGTTTTATTCTTTGTTGTTATATATGTACTTCAAAATTGTTACTAATAGGGTCTAGTTGATTTAATGCCCTTGGCCTTGTCAAGTTCATGGGCTCTGATTATTTCCTTATTTTTCTACAATATTTTGTTGTCTTGCACAATTTTGCTCCAAGATAAAAACACATGCACCAAATATTTACTAGAAACAATAATTAAGAGGTGTGACTTTGCATACCAGCTTTGCACGCACAAATACGTTTACTCGTGAACTTCTATTATGTTTTCATTTGTATACGTGCACCTGACTTGAAAGACAATGGTCAAAGCATATGTGCCCATGACTTTCTTAAGACAACATACCATAGATGCAAGTACTCAAGTACACGCATGTACAGTCAGCATCTATCTTATGAACACCCACGCACACAGCCAAATGAGAACATTCAAGAGGTCACGCTGGCACATCTTGATATTGATGATGTAATGTGGTATTGTCTACGTATTAATCAAGCATGTGGATGTAGTTATGATTCGATATTTTTCAATTGATTATGTAGAGAGAGAAAAAAAATAAGGAGTAGACTCAGATAAATCTCAATCAATGTATCGATTATTTCTGGGAAGTTGCACACGCCGACACAAGAACATTGTTATCAAGTACAACTCATTTGTATTCTAGAAGATGGCACCTCAACGATGGGTTGCTGCCCACGACAAGGCAGGGTTCCTCAAAGACATCAGGTCGAATGGCTGCAATTGCTGCTGCTGCTGCTGCAGGAAAGCGGCAGCCAATGGGTTAGCCAGTGCCGATGGGTGAACTGGTAGCAGCTGCTGTTGCTGATGGTAGGCAGCAGCGGTTGCAACAGCCGACTGGGTAAACGGAAGCGGCTGCTGCTGTTGCAGGTATGCAGCGCGTCGTTCGCCCCAGCCAGTTGGTTGAATGGAAGTAGCTGTTGCTGTTGTTGTAAGTGCAGGGTTCGCCACGGCTAGTTGACTGAGCGCTGGCAGGAACTGTTGTAACTGTTGTTGTTGCAGGTATGCAATGGCATTCGCCGCAGCCAGTGGGTTTGTAGGAAGCAGCTGTTGCAGCTGCAAGTAGGCGGCAGGGTTTGCCACAGATAGTTGACTGAGCGCTGGCAGGAACTGTTGCTGTCGCAGTTGCGCTACGATGGTCTGAACTAGTAGGTGAGCCGAGGATTGCTGTTGCAATTGGGCAATTGGTTGTTCTAAGATGCTCGCCGCGAGCACCTGTTGTAACCTATAGGCCCGCACAATTGGGTGCTCATACCCCACAGCAGTAACCGGTGAGCACTGCGGAATGATGAACGCAGTTGCAGCGCTCACCGAAAGAGCAAGGAGTGCAAGGAGGGCAAATATCTTGGCGGCCATTGTTGCTAAGATGTTGCTAGTGCGTTTCACTTGGCAAGTTTTTTATTGCTCTCAATGATACGGGTGGTGGATTAGCTATTGATTTGGGGCCTATTTATACAAGTGAGAGCTCATGTATATCTGTTCAGATCTCGGATTTTGCCAAAAGATGGATGAGCTAGAGATGACATGGCACCTAGTCAACTTCGACGTTTAGTTATCAGTTTCATTGGATTATATGGTATGTGTTGGCAAGATAGTGTCCACTACGTGCTATAAAAAAGTGCCCTTTCCTATAGGAGTTCTCTAGATACATGAGGAATGACATGCGTGATAACTTCACCTTTACACATGACAAAGCCTTAGCCACATCATATTTGTTCCACTTTATAGACATGATGAGTATGTGAAGTTATGACTTGCTCATGTGAATCAACGCCTTTATCAACGAAATTTATTGTAGCATCGTACTCATGGTTGAAGTATACACAGTAGTTATGTGAGAAGTTATGAAGCAGCGAGTGAACAAATGCTGCAAGACCGTGGCTAATTGAAGTCCCCGTATGTCTAAAACGCATGCACACGCATCTCTACACCTAAAAAATACCTAGGGGTATCGTCGTCGGCGCAAATACCGCCCGCTCGACTCTTCTCTCCGTTCCTACATGACTTCGTTTCCCACATCACGTCTGTTACCTACTTACCTACGTGACTCGACCTAGATCGAACAAGGGAGTCTAATATACAAATTGGTTACCTACGCACGTCCTTTTCGTAGGTATGTCCGTTCATTGTCGCCAGGGCATCGATCTCCAAGCCGTGGTGGTCCCGCTTATGGTGCTTGGAGTCGCCTATGTTGATGTACAACATCGGCCAAGGGGTTTTTTGTTGCGCCTAGCCAGGCTCACGGGTGCCGCGCGCACCAGCGCCCGACTGAGGCCACATGCACCAAGCGAACGCCGGTCGAGCCGGGCCGTCCCTTTTGCGCCGCCGGCGGGTGCCATGCGCTGGCAGCTCCGGTGGCGTCCCGTAGGGTGCCATTCGCTGGCAGCTCCTGCGACCAAGACGTCGAGAGTCCGCCAGCGCATTGCGCAGTTCCTTACACCACTTTCGCGCGCGCGCGTGCGCTCAGCGGTGAACACCGCCCAGCGGTGCCCGTGCTCGCTCTGCTCTTTCATTTCCAAAAGTTGATTTTACATCAACGTAATACATGAAGATGAATATGTCGTGAAACAAGCACGCTGGGTGTCCCGAGAGAATAATAATTAGAGAAGAATTTTTGCGTGCACTATGATTTTGAAGTGTGTCCTTATGCTACGACCATCGCTTCTGCTCTGGCGATGCCGGTGTCTTACGTCTTATAGAGGATTCATGTGTTGGGGTTAAGGGTTAATTAGAGAAGTGAAAAAGGCCTCGGGTTTAGAAATAATTTAGGGTTTCCAATAAAAAATATTTAATAGCCGTGTGGGAAAAAATTCATGGCCTCCATGCAATGCACGGGCATATATCTAGTAGAATATAAAAAATTGGCATGCTTATTACTATCTTGGCCACTGCCACACACTCCCTTTGTTCTGGATTACAATTCACTTTATTTTTGTGTAAAAGCAAGCTTGTCAAACTTTGAAAAAGTTTTAAATAAATTTCGACAACAAAAATGCACTATCAAGACATATGCACTGAAGAATTCAATGAAACAAACTTCATGTTCAAGATTTTTAGTAATTTTTCTAGGAAATATATCAAAGTTAGGTAAGATTACCATAGGGAAGAGCTAGAGCAAGTAATAAACTGGAGCGGAGGGCGTATATGTTGAACTCTACCTCTTGATTCAAATAGATGTACATCTAATTTTCACTAAACTCATACTTAAATTATTTCCATATAGTTAGGAGAATGATAAGTTTCCTGCCACTTTTGTTCCTTCCACCATCTACGATATGAATCTTCCCTTCAATATACAGATGAAGAGGATCAAGGCCAACCTCCTAGCTGTTCGAAAGAAAGTCGTTTGGGCTCAAAGGCATAGATCCATTCAAGAAAAAAAAACCACATGATCATTAACAAAAACCTTGCTCAGCTATGCTGCAAAAACTCAAGATAAAGGAGACTAAGATGGGGGTTGCATTGATTTTAGGCGAAAAAGACTCGAAGTTCCATGACAACACACTCCTTCATATTCGTTTTAACTAGAACAGTGAGCACATAGGTACACATATTTAATTCCGTGGATTCGACACAAAAGATATTTTGGATTTCCCTACACACGACCTGAATCTCGTCCAAAAGAATCTCAGGAACATTGGGATAATAACCTTAATCTCTAGGACTGGGCATTAATTTTTGGCTAAGGAAATTCAATATGGCTAAAAACATTTAAAAATAATAACTTCTGAGCGAGACCAACAAAATCTTCATTGCTTCATTTACTATGCCTTGTTCATTTACAAAGGAATGTATTTCATGATTCTATAATAATTTGCTTTATGTGTGCTCAAGTAGATATGATAAGATATCAGTTCTACTTTTATATAACATGTGAGTTAAGGTTACAATGATTCTAGTGTTATGAGCTACCCCTAGTAAACCGTCATGTCAGTAGTAAACTACTGGATTTGTTTAGTTTTAAGATTTTATAACATGAACTTTTTCGTATTCTACACATAGATGAAAACTGCAATCCATTGGACTAGGCTTGGTGTCAGAATGGCACTCCAAATGGGTTCTCTCTCTACAGAGAACAGTACGGCGGTGGACGGTTAGTACTTTAATCTCGGGACGTTACTTTTGGGTTTTGATAGCCCCACTCTAAATCATATTTTAGTCGGTGCGGTGCCCATCAGCAAAGATCCCATCTTTGGTAATGCTACCAAGCAGAAAAGTGAGCTACCGTGTTTAGTTGCCAATTTGACGCAAGTTTGGTGTCCCTCTGTAAAAATTTGCTCTAACATATTCGTGGGATATTAAACTTCACGTTGATCTGATTCGAAGAACTGCACTTAGGCCCCCCTCTCATGAAACGGCTCTGCTGCAGTGGATGGCAGTTTGGCGTCGAGTTTTATTCTTTGTTGTTATATATGTACTTCAAAATTGTTACTAATAGGGTCTAGTTGATTTAATGCCCTTGGCCTTGTCAAGTTCATGGGCTCTGATTATTTCCTTATTTTTCTACAATATTTTGTTGTCTTGCACAATTTTGCTCCAAGATAAAAACACATGCACCAAATATTTACTAGAAACAATAATTAAGAGGTGTGACTTTGCATACCAGCTTTGCACGCACAAATACGTTTACTCGTGAACTTCTATTATGTTTTCATTTGTATACGTGCACCTGACTTGAAAGACAATGGTCAAAGCATATGTGCCCATGACTTTCTTAAGACAACATACCATAGATGCAAGTACTCAAGTACACGCATGTACAGTCAGCATCTATCTTATGAACACCCACGCACACAGCCAAATGAGAACATTCAAGAGGTCACGCTGGCACATCTTGATATTGATGATGTAATGTGGTATTGTCTACGTATTAATCAAGCATGTGGATGTAGTATGATTCGATATTTTCAATTGATTATGTAGAGAGAGAAAAAAAATAAGGAGTAGACTCAGATAAATCTCAATCAATGTATCGATTATTTCTGGGAAGTTGCACACGCCGACACAAGAACATTGTTATCAAGTACAACTCATTTGTATTCTAGAAGATGGCACCTCCAACGATGGGTTGCTGCCACGACAAGGCAGGGTTCCTCAAAGACATCAGGTCGAATGGCTGCAATTGCTGCTGCTGCTGCTGCAGGAAAGCGGCAGCCAATGGGTTAGCCAGTGCCGATGGGTGAACTGGTAGCAGCTGCTGTTGCTGATGGTAGGCAGCAGCGGTTGCAACAGCCGACTGGGTAAACGGAAGCGGCTGCTGCTGTTGCAGGTATGCAGCGGCGTTCAGCCAGTTGGTTGAATGGAAGCCAGTTGGTTGAATGGAAGTAGCTGTTGTTGTTGCAAGTAGAACTGTTGTAACTGTTGTTGCAGGGCAATGGCATTTGCCACAGATAGTGGAAGCAGTAGTTGACTGAGCATTGGCAGGAATAGTTGACTGAGCGCTGGCAGGAACTGTTGCTGTCGCAGTTAGCGCCACGATGGTCTGAACTAGTAGGTGAGCCGAGGATTGCTGTTGCAATTGGGCAATTGGTTGTTCTAAGATGCTCGCCGCGAGCACCTGTTGTAACCTATAGGCCCGCACAATTGGGTGCTCATACCCCGCAGCAGTAACCGGTGAGCACTGCGGAATGATGAACGCAGTTGCAGCGCTCACCGAAAGAGCAAGGAGTGCAAGGAGGGCAAATATCTTGGCGGCCATTGTTGCTAAGATGTTGCTAGTGCGTTTCACTTGGCAAGTTTTTTATTGCTCTCAATGATACGGGTGGTGGATTAGCTATTGATTTGGGGCCTATTTGTACAAGTGAGAGCTCATGTATATCTGTTCAGATCTCGGATTTTGCCAAAAGATGGATGAGCTAGAGATGACATGGCACCTAGTCAACTTCGACGTTTAGTTATCAGTTTGATTGGATTATATGGTATGTGTTGGCAAGATAGTGTCCACTACGTGCTATAAAAAAGTGCCCTTTTCTATAGGAGTTCTCTAGATACATGAGGAATGACATACGTGATAACTTCACCTTTACACATGACAAAGCCTTAGCCACATCATATTTGTTCCACTTTATAGACATGATGAGTATGTGAAGTTATGACTTGCTCATGTGAATCAACGCCTTTATCAACGAAATTTATTGTAGCATCGTACTCATGGTTGAAGTATACACAATAGTTATGTGAGAAGTTATGAAGCAGCGAGTCAACAAATGCTGCAAGACCGTGGCTAATTGAAGTCCCCGTATGTCTAAAACGCATGCACACGCATCTCTACACCTAAAAAATACCTAGGGGTATCGTCAGCGCAAATACTCGCCCCGCTCGACTCTTCTCTCCGTTCCTACATGACTTCATTTCCTACGTACGTCTGTTACCTACTTACCTACGTGACTCGACCTAGATCGAACAAGGGAGTCTAATATACAAATTGGTTACCTACGTACGTCCTTTCGTAGGTATGTCCGTTCATTGTCTCCAGGGGCATCGATCTCCAAGCCGTGGTGGTCCCGCTTATGGTGCTGGAGTCGCCCATGTTGATGTACAGCATCGGCAAAGGGCGGTTTCTTGCGCCTGGCTAGGCTCACGGGTGCCGCGCGCACCAGCGCCGCACAGGGCCACATGCACCAAGCAGAACGCCGGTCGAGCCGGGCCGTCCTTTGCGCCGCCGCCGGGTGCCATGCCGCTGGCAGCTCCGGTGACGTCCCGTAGGGTGCCATTCCGCTGGCAGCTCCTGCGACCAAGACGTCGAGAGTCCGGCCAGGCGCATTGCGCAGTTCCTTACAACACTTTCGCGCACGCGAGCGCTCAGCGGTGAACACCGGCCCAGCGGTGCCCGTGCTCTGCTCTGCTCTTTCATTTCCAAAAGTTGATTTTACATCAACGTAATACATGAAGATGAATATGTCAGCGAAACAAGCACGCTGGGTGTCCCAGAGAATAATAATTAGAGAAGAATTTTTGCGTGCACTATGATTTTGAAGTGTGTCCTTATGCTACGACCACTGCTCTGCCTGGCGATGCCGGTGTCTTACGTCTTATAGAGGATTCATGCGTTGGGGTTAAGGGTTAATTAGAGAAGTAAAAAAGGCCTCGGGTTTAGAAATAATTTAGGGTTTCCAATAAAAAATATTTAATAGCCGTGTGGGAAAAAATTCATGGCCTCCATGCAATGCACGGGCATATATCTAGTAGAATATAAAAAATTGGCATGCTTATTACTATCTTGGCCACTGCCACACACTCCCTTTGTTCTGGATTACAATTCACTTTATTTTTGTGTAAAAGCAAGCTTGTCAAACTTTGAAAAAGTTTTAAATAAATTTCGACAACAAAAATGCACTATCAAGACATATGCACTGAAGAATTCAATGAAACAAACTTCATGTTCAAGATTTTTAGTAATTTTCCTAGGAAATATATCAAAGTTAGGTAAGATTACCTTAGGGAAGAGCTAGAGCAAGTAATAAACTGGAGCGGAGGGCGTATATGTTGAACTCTACCTCTTGATTCAAATAGATGTACATCTAATTTTCACTAAACTCATACTTAAATTATTTCCATATAGTTAGGAGAATGATAAGTTTCCTGCCACTTTTGTTCCTTCCACCATCTACGATATGAATCTTCCCTTCAATATACAGATGAAGAGGATCAAGGCCAACCTCCTAGCTGTTCGAAAGAAAGTCGTTTGGGCTCAAAGGCATAGATCCATTCAAGAAAAAAAAACAACATGATCATTAACAAAAACCTTGCTCAGCTATGCTGCAAAAACTGAAGATAAAGGAGACTAAGATGGGGGTTGCATTGATTTTAGGCGAAAAAGACTCGAAGTTCCATGACAACACACTCCTTCATATTCGTTTTAACTAGAACAGTGAGCACATAGGTACACATATTTAATTCCGTGGATTCGACACAAAAGATATTTTGGATTTCCCTACACACGACCTGAATCTCGTCCAAAAGAATCTCAGGAACATTGGGATAATAACCTTAATCTCTAGGACTGGGCATTAATTTTAGGCTAAGGAAATTCAATATGGCTAAAAACATTTAAAAATAATAACTTCTGAGCGAGACCAACAAAATCTTCATAGCTTCATTTACTATGCCTTGTTCATTTACAAAGGAATGTATTTCATGATTCTATAATAATTTGCTTTATGTGTGCTCAAGTAGATATGATAAGATATCAGTTCTACTTTTATATAACATGTGAGTTAGGGTTACAATGATTCTAGTGTTATGAGCTACCCTAGTAAAAACCGTCATGTCAGTAGTAAACTACTGGATTTGTTTAGTTTTAAGATTTTATAACATGAACTTTTTCGTATTCTACACATAGATGAAAACTGCAATCCATTGGACTAGGCTTGGTGTCAGAATGGCACTCCAAATGGGTTCTCTCTCTACAGAGAACAGTATGGCGGTGGACGGTTAGTACTTTAATCTCGGGACGTTACTTTTGGGTTTTGATAGCCCCACTCTAAATCATATTTTAGTCGGTGCGGTGCCCATCAGCAAAGATCCCATCTTTGGTAATGCTACCAAGCAGAAAAGTGAGCTACCATGTTTAGTTGCCAATTTGACGCAAGTTTGGTGTCCCTCTGTAAAAATTTGCTCTAACATATTCATGGGATATTAAACTTCACGTTGATCTGATTCAAGAACTGCACTTAGGCCCCCTCTCATGAAACGGCTCTGCTGCAGTGGATGGCAGTTTGGCGTCGAGTTTTATTCTTTGTTGTTATATATGTACTTCAAAATTGTTACTAATAGGGTCTAGTTGATTTAATGCCCTTGGCCTTGTCAAGTTCATGGGCTCTGATTATTTCCTTATTTTTCTACAATATTTTGTTGTCTTGCACAATTTTGCTCCAAGATAAAAACACATGCACCAAATATTTACTAGAAACAATAATTAAGAGGTGTGACTTTGCATACCAGCTTTGCACGCACAAATACGTTTACTCGTGAACTTCTATTATGTTTTCATTTGTATACGTGCACCTGACTTGAAAGACAATGGTCAAAGCATATGTGCCCATGACTTTCTTAAGACAACATACCATAGATGCAAGTACTCAAGTACACGCATGTACAGTCAGCATCTATCTTATGAACACCCACGCACACAGCCAAATGAGAACATTCAAGAGGTCACGCTGGCACATCTTGATATTGATGATGTAATGTGGTATTGTCTACGTATTAATCAAGCATGTGGATGTAGTTATGATTCGATATTTTTCAATTGATTATGTAGAGAGAGAAAAAAAATAAGGAGTAGACTCAGATAAATCTCAATCAATGTATTGATTATTTCTGGGAAGTTGCACACGCCGACACAAGAACATTGTTATCAAGTACAACTCATTTGTATTCTAGAAGATGGCACCTCCAACGATGGGTTGCTGCCACGACAAGGCAGGGTTCCTCAAAGACATCAGGTCGAATGGCTGCAATTGCTGCTGCTGCTGCTGCAGGAAAGCGGCAGCCAATGGGTTAGCCAGTGCCGATGGGTGAACTGGTAGCAGCTGCTGTTGCTGATGGTAGGCAGCAGCGGTTGCAACAGCCGACTGGGTAAACGGAAGCGGCTGCTGCTGTTGCAGGCTGCGTTCGCCCCAGCCAGTTGGTTGAATGGAAGTAGCTGTTGCTGTTGCAAGTAGGCGGCAGGGTTCGCCACGGCCAGTTGACTGAGCGCTGGCAGGAACTGTTGTAACTGTTGTTGTTGCAGGTATGCAATGGCATTCGCCGCGCCAGCCAGTGGGTTTGTAGGAAGCAGCTGTTGCAGCTGCAAGTAGGCCGCAGGGTTTGCCACAGATAGTTGACTGAGCGCTGGCAGGAACTGTTGTTGCTGTCGTTGATTTGCGCTACGATGGTCTGAACTAGTAGGTGAGCCGAGGATTGCTGTTGCAATTGGGCAATTGGTTGTTCTAAGATGCTCGCCGCGAGCACCTGTTGTAACCTATAGGCCCGCACAATTGGGTGCTCATACCCCACAGCAGTAACCGGTGAGCACTGCGGAATGATGAACGCAGTTGCAGCGCTCACCGAAAAGAGCAAGGAGTGCAAGGAGGGCAAATATCTTGGCGGCCATTGTTGCTAAGATGTTGCTAGTGCGTTTCACTTGGCAAGTTTTTTATTGCTCTCAATGATACGGGTGGTGGATTAGCTATTGATTTGGGGCCTATTTATACAAGTGAGAGCTCATGTATATCTGTTCAGATCTCGGATTTTGCCAAAAGATGGATGAGCTAGAGATGACATGGCACCTAGTCAACTTCGACGTTTAGTTATCAGTTTCATTGGATTATATGGTATGTGTTGGCAAGATAGTGTCCACTACGTGCTATATAAAAAGTGCCCTTTCCTATAGGAGTTCTCTAGATACATGAGGAATGACATCGTGATAACTTCACCTTTACACATGACAAAGCCTTAGCCACATCATATTTGTTCCACTTTATAGACATGATGAGTATGTGAAGTTATGACTTGCTCATGTGAATCAACGCCTTTATCAACGAAATTTATTGTAGCATCGTACTCATGGTTGAAGTATACACAATAGTTATGTGAGAAGTTATGAAGCAGCGAGTGAACAAATGCTGCAAGACCGTGGCTAATTGAAGTCCCCGTATGTCTAAAATGCATGCACACGCATCTCTACACCTAAAAATACCTAGGGGGGTATCGTCAGCGCAAATACTGCGCCCGCTCGACTCTTCTCTCCGTTCCTACATGACTTCATTTCCTACGACGTCTGTTACCTACTTACCTACGTGACTCGACCTAGATCGAACAAGGGAGTCTAATATACAAATTGGTTACCCACGACGTCCTTTCGTAGGTATGTCCGTTCATTGTCGCCAGGGCATCGATCTCCAAGCCGTGGTGGTCCCCTTATGGTGCTGGAGTCGCCCATGTTGATGTACAACATCGGCAAAGGCGGTTTGTTGCGCCTAGCCAGGCTCACGGGTGCGCTTGCGCACCAGCGCCGCCACAGGCCACATGCACCAAGCGAACGCCGGCCGAGCGGGCGTCCTTTGCGCGCCGCCGGGTGCCATGCCGCTGGCAGCTCCGGTGACGCCCGTAGGGTGCCATTCGCTGGCAGCTCCTGCGACCAAGACGTCGAGAGTCCCGGGCCAGGCGCATTGCGCGATTCCTTACACCACTTTCGGCGCGCGCGTGCGCTCAGTGGTGAACACACGCCCAGCGGTGCCGTGCTCTGCTCTGCTCTTTCATTTCCAAAAGTTGATTTTACATCAACGTAATACATGAAGATGAATATGTCGTGAAACAAGCACGCTGGGTGTCCCAGAGAATAATAATTAGAGAAGAATTTTTGCGTGCACTATGATTTTGAAGTGTGTCCTTATACTACGACCACTGCTCTGCTGGCGATGCTTTGGTGTCTTACGTCTTATAGAGGATTCATGTGTTGGGGTTAAGGGTTAATTAGAGAAGTGAAAAAAAGGCCTCGGGTTTAGAAATAATTTAGGGTTTCCAATAAAAAATATTTAATAGCCGTGTGGGAAAAAATTCATGGCCTCCATGCAATGCACGGGCATATATCTAGTAGAATATAAAAATTGGCATGCTTATTACTATCTTGGCCACTGCCACACACTCCCTTTGTTCTGGATTACAATTCACTTTATTTTTGTGTAAAAGCAAGCTTGTCAAACTTTGAAAAAGTTTTAAATAAATTTCGACAACAAAAATGCACTATCAAGACATATGCACTGAAGAATTCAATGAAACAAACTTCATGTTCAAGATTTTTAGTAATTTTTCTAGGAAATATATCAAAGTTAGGTAAGATTACCATAGGGAAGAGCTAGAGCAAGTAATAAACTGGAGCGGAGGGCGTATATGTTGAACTCTACCTCTTGATTCAAATAGATGTACATCTAATTTTCACTAAACTCATACTTAAATTATTTCCATATAGTTAGGAGAATGATAAGTCTCCTGCCACTTTTGTTCCTTCCACCATCTACGATATGAATCTTCCCTTCAATATACAGATGAAGAGGATCAAGGCCAACCTCCTAGCTGTTCGAAAGAAAGTCGTTTGGGCTCAAAGGCATAGATCCATTCAAGAAAAAACAACAACATGATCATTAACATAAACCTTGCTCAGCTATGCTGCAAAAACTCAAGATAAAGGAGACTAAGATGGGGGTTGCATTGATTTTAGGCGAAAAAGACTCGAAGTTCAATGACAACACACTCCTTCATATTCGTTTTAACTAGAACAGTGAGCACATAGGTACACATATTTAATTCCGTGGATTTGACACAAAAGATATTTCGGATTTCCCTACGCACGACCTGAATCTCGTCCAAAAGAATCTCAGGAACATTGGGATAATAACCTTAATCTCTAGGACTGGGCATTAATTTTAGGCTAAGGAAATTCAATATGGCTAAAAACATTTAAAAATAATAACTTCTGAGCGAGACCAACAAAATCTTCATAGCTTCATTTACTATGCCTTGTTCATTTACAAAGGAATGTATTTCATGATTCTATAATAATTTGCTTTATGGGTGCTCAAATAGATATGATAAGATATCTGTTCTACTTTTATATAACATGTGAGTTAAGGTTACAATGATTCTAGTGTTATGAGCTACCCCTAGTAAACCGTCATGTCAGTAGTAAACTACTGGATTTGTTTAGTTTTAAGATTTTATAACATGAACTTTTTCGTATTCTACACATAGATGAAAACTGCAATCCATTGGACTAGGCTTGGTGTCAGAATGGCACTCCAAATGGGTTCTCTCTCTACAGAGAACAGTATGGCGGTGGACGGTTAGTACTTTAATCTCGGGACGTTACTTTTGGGTTTTGATAGCCCCACTCTAAATCATATTTTAGTCGGTGCGGTGCCCATCAGCAAAGATCCCATCTTTGGTAATGCTACCAAGCAGAAAAGTGAGCTACCGTGTTTAGTTGCCAATTTGACGCAAGTTTGGTGTCCCTCTGTAAAAATTTGCTCTAACATATTCGTGGGATATTAAACTTCACGTTGATCTGATTCGAAGAACTGCACTTAGGCCCCCCTCTCATGAAACGGCTCTGCTGCAGTGGATGGCAGTTTGGCGTCGAGTTTTATTCTTTGTTGTTATATATGTACTTCAAAATTGTTACTAATAGGGTCTAGTTGATTTAATGCCCTTGGCCTTGTCAAGTTCATGGGCTCTGATTATTTCCTTATTTTTCTACAATATTTTGTTGTCTTGCACAATTTTGCTCCAAGATAAAAACACATGCACCAAATATTTACTAGAAACAATAATTAAGAGGTGTGACTTTGCATACCAGCTTTGCACGCACAAATACGTTTACTCGTGAACTTCTATTATGTTTTCATTTGTATACGTGCACCTGACTTGAAAGACAATGGTCAAAGCATATGTGCCCATGACTTTCTTAAGACAACATACCATAGATGCAAGTACTCAAGTACACGCATGTACAGTCAGCATCTATCTTATGAACACCCACGCACACAGCCAAATGAGAACATTCAAGAGGTCACGCTGGCACATCTTGATATTGATGATGTAATGTGGTATTGTCTACGTATTAATCAAGCATGTGGATGTAGTTATGATTCGATATTTTTCAATTGATTATGTAGAGAGAGAGAAAAAATAAGGAGTAGACTCAGATAAATCTCAATCAATGTATTGATTATTTCTGGGAAGTTGCACACGCCGACACAAGAACATTGTTATCAAGTACAACTCATTTGTATTCTAGAAGATGGCACCTCCAACGATGGGTTGCTGCCACGACAAGGCAGGGTTCCTCAAAGACATCAGGTCGAATGGCTGCAATTGCTGCTGCTGCTGCTGCTGCAGGAAAGCGGCAGCCAATGGGTTAGCCAGTGCCGATGGGTTAACTGGTAGCAGCTGCTGTTGCTGATGGTAGGCAGCAGCGGTTGCAACAGCCGACTGGGTAAACGGAAGCGGCTGCTGCTGTTGCAGGTATGCAGCGGCGTTCGCCCCAGCCAGTTGGTTGAATGGAAGTAGCTGTTGCTGTTGCAAGTAGGCGGCAGGGTTCGCCACGGCTAGTTGACTGAGCGCTGGCAGGAACTGTTGTAACTGTTGTTGTTGCAGGTATGCAATGGCATTCGCCGCAGCCAGTGGGTTTGTAGGAAGCAGCTGTTGCAGCTGCAAGTAGGCGGCAGGGTTTGCCACAGATAGTTGACTGAGCGCTGGCAGGAACTGTTGCTGTCGCAGTTCTTGCTACGATGGTCTGAACTAGTAGGTGAGCCGAGGATTGCTGTTGCAATTGGGCAATTGGTTGTTCTAAGATGCTCGCCGCGAGCACCTGTTGTAACCTATAGGCCCGCACAATTGGGTGCTCATACCCCGCAGCAGTAACCGGTGAGCACTGCGGAATGATGAACGCAGTTGCAGCGCTCACCAAAAGAGCAAGGAGTGCAAGGAGGGCAAATATCTTGGCAGCCATTGTTGCTAAGATGTTGCTAGTGCGTTTCACTTGGCAAGTTTTTTATTGCTCTCAATGATACGGGTGGTGGATTAGCTATTGATTTGGGGCCAATTTATACAAGTGAGAGCTCATGGATATCTGTTCAGATCTCGGATTTTGCCAAAAGATGGATGAGCTAGAGATGACATGGCACCTAGTCAACTTCGACATTTAGTTATCAGTTTCATTGGATTATATGGTATGTGTTGGCAAGATAGTGTCCACTACGTGCTATAAAAAAGTGCCCTTTCCTATAGGAGTTCTCTAGATACATGAGGAATGACATACGTGATAACTTCACCTTTACACATGACAAAGCCTTAGCCACATCATATTTGTTCCACTTTATAGACATGATGAGTATGTGAAGTTATGACTTGCTCATGTGAATCAACGCCTTTATCAACGAAATTTATTGTAGCATCGTACTCATGGTTGAAGTATACACAATAGTTATGTGAGAAGTTATGAAGCAGCGAGTCAACAAATGCTGCAAGACCGTGGCTAATTGAAGTCCCCGTATGTCTAAAACGCATGCACACGCATCTCTACACCTAAAAAATACCTAGGGGTATCGTCAGCGCAAATACTCGCCCCGCTCGACTCTTCTCTCCGTTCCTACATGACTTCATTTCCTACGTACGTCTGTTACCTACTTACCTACGTGACTCGACCTAGATCGAACAAGGGAGTCTAATATACAAATTGGTTACCTACGTACGTCCTTTCGTAGGTATGTCCGTTCATTGTCTCCAGGGGCATCGATCTCCAAGCCGTGGTGGTCCCGCTTATGGTGCTGGAGTCGCCCATGTTGATGTACAGCATCGGCCAAGGGCGGTTTGTTGCGCCTAGCCAGGCTCACGGGTGCCGCGCGCACCAACGCCGCACAGGGCCACATGCACCAAGCCGAACGCCGGCCGAGCCGGGCCGTCCTTTGCGCCGCCGCCGGGTGCCATGCCGCTGGTAGCTCCGGTGACGTCCCGTAGGGTGCCATTCCGCTGGCAGCTCCTGCGACCAAGACGTCGAGAGTCCGGCCAGGCGCATTGCGCAGTTCCTTACACCACTTTCGCGCACGCGTGCGCTCAGCGGTGAACACCGGCCCAGCGGTGCCCGTGCTCTGCTCTGCTCTTTCATTTCCAAAAGTTGATTTTACATCAACGTAATACATGAAGATGAATATGTCAGCGAAACAAGCACGCTGGGTGTCCCAGAGAATAATAATTAGAGAAGAATTTTTGCGTGCACTATGATTTTGAAGTGTGTCCTTATGCTACGACCACTGCTCTGCCTGGCGATGCTGGTGTCTTACGTCTTATAGAGGATTCATGTGTTGGGGTTAAGGGTTAATTAGAGAAGTAAAAAAGGCCTCGGGTTTAGAAATAATTTAGGGTTTCCAATAAAAAATATTTAATAGCCGTGTGGGAAAAAATTCATGGCCTCCATGCAATGCACGGGCATATATCTAGTAGAATATAAAAAATTGGCATGCTTATTACTATCTTGGCCACTGCCACACACTCCCTTTGTTCTGGATTACAATTCACTTTATTTTTGTGTAAAAGCAAGCTTGTCAAACTTTGAAAAAGTTTTAAATAAATTTCGACAACAAAAATGCACTATCAAGACATATGCACTGAAGAATTCAATGAAACAAACTTCATGTTCAAGATTTTTAGTAATTTTCTAGGAAATATATCAAAGTTAGGTAAGATTACCTTAGGGAAGAGCTAGAGCAAGTAATAAACTGGAGCGGAGGGCGTATATGTTGAACTCTACCTCTTGATTCAAATAGATGTACATCTAATTTTCACTAAACTCATACTTAAATTATTTCCATATAGTTAGGAGAATGATAAGTTTCCTGCCACTTTTGTTCCTTCCACCATCTACGATATGAATCTTCCCTTCAATATACAGATGAAGAGGATCAAGGCCAACCTCCTAGCTGTTCGAAAGAAAGTCGTTTGGGCTCAAAGGCATAGATCCATTCAAGAAAAAAAAACAACATGATCATTAACATAAACCTTGCTCAGCTATGCTGCAAAAACTCAAGATAAAGGAGACTAAGATGGGGGTTGCATTGATTTTAGGCGAAAAAGACTCGAAGTTCCATGACAACACACTCCTTCATATTCGTTTTAACTAGAACAGTGAGCACATAGGTACACATATTTAATTCCGTGGATTCGACACAAAAGATATTTCGGATTTCCCTACACACGACCTGAATCTCGTCCAAAAGAATCTCAGGAACATTGGGATAATAACCTTAATCTCTAGGACTGGGCATTAATTTTAGGCTAAGGAAATTCAATATGGCTAAAAACATTTAAAAATAATAACTTCTGAGCGAGACCAACAAAATCTTCATAGCTTCATTTACTATGCCTTGTTCATTTACAAAGGAATGTATTTCATGATTCTATAATAATTTGCTTTATGGGTGCTCAAATAGATATGATAAGATATCTGTTCTACTTTTATATAACATGTGAGTTAAGGTTACAATGATTCTAGTGTTATGAGCTACCCCTAGTAAACCGTCATGTCAGTAGTAAACTACTGGATTTGTTTAGTTTTAAGATTTTATAACATGAACTTTTTCGTATTCTACACATAGATGAAAACTGCAATCCAATGGACTAGGCTTGGTGTCAGTATGGCGGTGGACGGTTAGTACTTTAATCTCGGGACGTTACTTTTGGGTTTTGATAGCCCCACTCTAAATCATATTTTAGTCGGTGCGGTGCCCATCAGCAAAGATCCCATCTTTGGTAATGCTACCAAGCAGAAAAGTGAGCTACCGTGTTTAGTTGCCAATTTGACGCAAGTTTGGTGTCCCTCTGTAAAAATTTGCTCTAACATATTCGTGGGATATTAAACTTCACGTTGATCTGATTCGAAGAACTGCACTTAGGCCCCCCTCTCATGAAACGGCTCTGCTGCAGTGGATGGCAGTTTGGCGTCGAGTTTTATTCTTTGTTGTTATATATGTACTTCAAAATTGTTACTAATAGGGTCCAGTTGATTTAATGCCCTTGGCCTTGTCAAGTTCATGGGCTCTGATTATTTCCTTATTTTTCTACAATATTTTGTTGTCTTGCACAATTTTGCTCCAAGATAAAAACACATGCACCAAATATTTACTAGAAACAATAATTAAGAGGTGTGACTTTGCATACCAGCTTTGCACGCACAAATACGTTTACTCGTGAACTTCTATTATGTTTTCATTTGTATACGTGCACCTGACTTGAAAGACAATGGTCAAAGCATATGTGCCCATGACTTTCTTAAGACAACATACCATAGATGCAAGTACTCAAGTACACGCATGTACAGTCAGCATCTATCTTATGAACACCCACGCACACAGCCAAATGAGAACATTCAAGAGGTCACGCTGGCACATCTTGATATTGATGATGTAATGTGGTATTGTCTACGTATTAATCAAGCATGTGGATGTAGTTATGATTCGATATTTTTCAATTGATTATGTAGAGAGAGAAAAAAAATAAGGAGTAGACTCAGATAAATCTCAATCAATGTACTGATTATTTCTGGGAAGTTGCACACGCCGACACAAGAACATTGTTATCAAGTACAACTCATTTGTATTCTAGAAGATGGCGCCTTCAACGATGGGTTGCTGCCACGACAAGGCAGGGTTCCTCAAAGACATCAGGTCGAATGGCTGCAATTGCTGCTGCTGCTGCTGCAGGAAAGCGGCAGCCAATGGGTTAGCCAGTGCCGATGGGTTAACTGGTAGCAGCTGCTGTTGCTGATGGTAGGCAGCAGCGGTTGCAACAGCCGACTGGGTAAACGGAAGCGGCTGCTGCTGTTGCAGGTATGCAGCGGCGTTCGCCACAGCCAGTTGGTTGAATGGAAGTAGCTGTTGCTGTTGCAAGTAGGCGGCAGGGTTCGCCACGGCTAGTTGACTGAGCGCTGGCAGGAACTGTTGTAACTGTTGTTGTTGCAGGTATGCAATGGCATTCGCCGCAGCCAGTGGGTTTGTAGGAAGCAGCTGTTGCAGCTGCAAGTAGGCGGCAGGGTTTGCCACAGATAGTTGACTGAGCGCTGGCAGGAACTGTTGCTGTCGCAGTTGCGCTACGATGGTCCGAACTAGTAGGTGAGCTGAGGATTGCTGTTGCAATTGGGCAATTGGTTGTTCTAAGATGCTCGCCGCGAGCACCTGTTGTAACCTATAGGCCCGCACAATTGGGTGCTCATACCCCCGCAGCAGTAACTGGTGAGCACTGCGGAATGATGAACGCAGTTGCAGTGCTCACCAAAAGAGCAAGGAGTGCAAGGAGGGCAAATATCTTGGAGGCCATTGTTGCTAAGATGTTGCTAGTGCGTTTCACTTGGCAAGTTTTTTATTGCTCTCAATGATACGGGTGGTGGATTAGCTATTGATTTGGGGCCTATTTGTACAAGTGAGAGCTCATGTATATCTGTTCAGATCTCGGATTTTGCCAAAAGATGGATGAGCTAGAGATGACATGGCACCTAGTCAACTTCGACGTTTAGTTATCAGTTTGATTGGATTATATGGTATGTGTTGGCAAGATAGTGTCCACTACGTGCTATAAAAAAGTGCCCTTTTCTATAGGAGTTCTCTAGATACATGAGGAATGACATACGTGATAACTTCACCTTTACACATGACAAAGCCTTAGCCACATCATATTTGTTCCACTTTATAGACATGATGAGTATGTGAAGTTATGACTTGCTCATGTGAATCAACGCCTTTATCAACGAAATTTATTGTAGCATCGTACTCATGGTTGAAGTATACACAGTAGTTATGTGAGAAGTTATGAAGCAGCGAGTGAACAAATGCTGCAAGACCGTGGCTAATTGAAGTCCCCGTATGTCTAAAATGCATGCACACGCATCTCTACACCTAAAAAATACCTAGGGGTATCGTCAGCGCAAATACTCGCCCCGCTCGACTCTTCTCTCCGTTCCTA